GCTTTGGTCTAAATTTTTTGACAATGGTTATAGCTCTGCTATTAAGGCTAATGTTTGAGATATATGGTCATATCTCCTCAGCTTGTATTAATGTTATGATTTCAATAATGTTCTATTATAAACTATATAGTACTCAATAATGAGGCTTCGAAAGTTACTTATTAAAAAAATTACTTATTGTGTGGTGTGTTTTTACAAGATTGTGTTGTATTACTTGTCTAACTGTATTATAGTTAACTTATATAAATTGGCCTGACACCCAAAAAGAACTTAAAGAATTACCAAGTGTGACAAAAGATTTCCGATGCACGAATCATCACACATTCGCGCGGGCGCTGTGAGCGCTACTGTGTTAAAACACAAAATCAGAAAAAACTGTTAGAAAAATAAAAGAAACTGGAAAAACAGAAGAGTTTAAGAAATATTCCGAGTCCACAATTTGCTTGTGTGTCCTTAAGGAATTTTAACCCCCTCACACGTTGCCAAGGTAATGGATTAAATCCTCCCAGGATAAAACGGAATAAACCTTCCTGCAACAGTGGCAATACAAACTGCACGATACCAACGAACTTAAAGAATGGAGCAAAATCACACTTACGAATTTGAGAGAGAGAGACTGCGAATTAGGATGCAGTATATTCAGAAAGAAAGAAGTTCTGGAGTATTTTTCGTGTGTAGAAAATGGAGCCTTGCCTCAGAATTTATAGGCAATTATCAGAAGAGGTGTCTGAAGGTCGCGGCAGAACCGCGGTCAGAGAGGCTTTCTGAACCTGCCTGCCGCGGTTCTACCGCGGTCGCGGCAGAACAACGGCCAGAGAAGCCGAAGCCGAAGCCGAGCCAAGCGAGCGACGACGACGGCGCGAGGGTTCATTCTCTTCAACTCCTTTTAAGAGCTTTAAGAAGTGATTCTATATATAAGCACACAAATGTGGTTGTCCCTCACCAATGAGGGACAAAGTGCAAGACAAAAGTTCACTTCTTCAAATTTTCAATTTCCCTCCATTTCCAATTCACACTTCTTCTACTTTAAAGCCCAATGGCTTATAGTCCAACAATCCCCCACATGAATGGGAATGGTTGTATCAAGAAAGATCATAGATGAAAGCTATGTGATTTTGTAAGTAAGGATTAATTGCATCTGGATAAGTAGGTTTTCCTTTGAACTTTCCGTAGTGAACATATGTCGGATATACTCGGTCAATCGGTAGATTTGATATCTTTGAACCGTCGAACTTTAGTGTATACCTAGACAACCATATGTCACACAACCAACCCTTAACCGTCTTTTGGTTCTCATTGTTGTGTTCGTTTTAGCCATGAATACCGCCTGGTTTCATAAGTGCGTAGAGAATTGGCCTTACAGAATTCTCATTGAAGCGGCTTCCACTTCACACTTACATAGGTGATTCCTAAACGTGTAATCCTTTAGATTGACACTATTTGATAAATACCTCATCAAACTTAGGTAATCGGTCAATCACAACTTTGTTTGAGCTCCTTGAACCTAGATCTCGGAACATCCAAAAGGTGACTTTTCAGAAGAATACGCTGCCTAATTATTAAATAATTAAATAAATTTTGTCCAAAAATAATCTTATCGATCATTTGACAAATCCAAATCCAAATCCAAATCCAAAGCCGAGCCGAGCGACTACGGCACGAGGGTTCATTCTCTTCAACTCCTTTTAAGAGATTTAAGAAGTGATTCTATATATAAGCACACAAATGTGGTTGTCCCTCACCAATGAGGGACAAAGTGCAAGACAAAAGTTCACTTCTTCAAATTTTCAATTTCCCTCCATTTCCAATTCACACTTTTTCTACTTTAAAACCCAATAGCTTAAAGTCTAACAGTTACCAAATAGGGTGTTACTTTTCTTATTGGAATAAAGAAAATACTGGTTATTTTTGCAGATTTTAGCTATATCCAACTGAAAAAGTACAAATTTGTAACATCCTCCTCTATTTATTCAAGTTTGGACTTGGTTATTTCCAATTTCTGCACAATGTCTAGAGTCATTCTGAAATTCTTATGCCCAATAATGATTGAGTCCTTTTCAGACTGGCCAAAAATGATGAAGAATTGAAGGTTTCAACTGATTGCTACTCTTTATTTTTCTTCTCCATTTGTATATGAACAGTGAGGATTCAAATAGCCGACTTTAACTTTGTAGTGCCAGCATTTTTTAAATTCGACGTCACAATTTACAGCTTATTTTCTACTATTATTTTCGAGAGATTAAGCCTATTTATATAACCCCCTCAACACCACCCACCCCGGGTAATCATCTTAATAACAATAACTACTGCGCCTCAATCTTATATAAAGTCGATATTAATCCTCACTTCTTTATTTAAGTTCATTTTACATTATTATCATGCCAAAATAAAATAAGGGTAGTAGTGAAATAAGTACGGCTAATCATCTTCTCCTTCAAAAATTAAAAAGGAAAAATAGAGGAAAGGGAAAATATGTAATGACTTTTTCTTTTTTTAAGAAGTTGTTATTCCAAGTATCCTTGAATCTTTTGGCAATCAGTATCTAGACAAATTTGCAATGAAATTAAAAGATTTTTACATTAAATGGTAATACGTGTATAACACGAGAATATTAAATTTAAGATACCAATATCATATTTTCATACAATAATAAATAAAATAAAAAAGGAAAAAAAAATAGTGGTGTTTAGAGCAGAAATGAGGACAACCTCAGGAAGAGGCAAGCATAAAACATTACAGAAGAAACTAAGAGGAGAAGAATTTGTTTTAGCTTGGGGAGGAATTCTCTTAAATGAGAATTCTTCTCCTTTCTCTCCTTCTTCTCTTACTTACTTGCTGCTGTAATATTTCTTAATCATTGGAAAATCTTTTCAGTTTTCAACAATTCTCCAATCTTGCATTTTCCAGGTATTTATTGTTATTTCCTTAGGTTTCTCTTTTTGTTTATTTTTATTATTTTAATTTACATTTGCTGCTGAAAATATTATAAAGTCAACAACTCAGTTTTCCGTTCCCAAGGGACCAGAACCAAAGATAACACGATTTAACAAAATGAATAGAGAAAAAAGAGAAATTAAAAAGAAATGGAAAGAAATGAGACTTTTCTTTTTACAAAATTTCTGAATTTCACATCTTACCGCAATGAATTTAAATAGTAAATGGTGATTTTGTAGAAAGAAAAGAATAGAAAAGTAAATAGGTAGAGTTATTATGGAAAAAAAGGTGTTACTATTATCTAGTTCCTTTGGGGAATAATATCATTATATGCATGCATCAAATTTTTGTCCTAAATGATAAACTATAGTCTAATTCAAGAATCAAGATCTGCATAAGAGATACAAGTAAACACATGACAAATAAAGGCAATCCCTACCCTTGCCCATTGGAGGAGCCGGGATTTCATTAAGGAGATTCAAAATATAAAGAAGTAGATACCTGCGCGCGATCAAGAAGATTGATTGCAATCTAAGCGGTATCACCCGCCCTATCCTACCACCTATAGGTAGCCAACAGAATTAAACATCTACTACATGTACATACAATGTAATTTTTCAATGAAAGTGGTTCGAATTAACCCCCTTGCCCCCTTCCCTCCGAACAAAAAGCCATAAAAAAGGACTAGAAAGGCTTGAACTGATGGCTTGCCAAGCCAGGGCTCGATCCTGCACAATTCTTACCAGCTGGTATCTGGTTAATTTACTTAAATTCACTTACAAGCCTTCACATCGCTGCCCTATCTTCGTGTTAAGGGCACAACTTAAAGAACAACTTACTCTATTGACGTGATATTATTCATACACTCCATTCAAAAGTTTCTTGTTTTGGTGATGGCTTTCTTTTGCAGAATCCACTCAAAAATGGCTGAACATTCAAGTGTGAATCAACATTCAATAGAGATTGAGCAATCTAAGAAGAAGTTGATTGTGCCAAGCATATTGGTAGGCATGAAGCTGAAGCAGCCATCTTCAGTGCCTTCTTCACCTTCAGGCCAACCAAAAAGCGCAAAGTACAACTGCCTATGCTCACCAACTACACATGCTGGTTCGTTCAGGTGCAGATATCACAGGACCTCTAGCCTCACTCGAAATAGCATGTCTGTTGGCTCAAAACTCTCTGAATTAGCTGCTGGAAAATGACTCAAAAATTTCATCACTTTAATCTAGCATTTCATCTGTAATTAAGCATGTAATAAGGACTCAATTTACTCTGGATTGCTTTTCTCCTTTCCACTTGATCATTGATTTTTATTTACTTGCTTATGAATAACTTTCTGATCTGATTCCTAAAGTTGTAAAGTCATGAAGAATGCTTGGTTGTCCATTTGTTTATTTATTGGTTGATTCTTAGTTCCGTTGAGTCCCACATCGACAATGAAGGGGATGGACGATCTCCTTATATAGACTTGGGCAATCCTCACCTCATGAATTAACTTTTAGGTCCAGTTGTTTAACATGGTATCAGAGCAACACCCATGACCCATCCCAATTTCTCGATGTTGTGGCCCCAAATTGTCATATCCCACATCGACAATGAAGGGGATGGACGGTCTCCTTATATGGACTTGGGCAATGGGCAATCATTGCACATGTTTTGCCTAACCTCCTCCACCCAACCAAAAGAAAACTAAAAAGAAGAGGAAAGCAAAAGACTGGAGACACCTTAAAAGTTTGATTTGGGAGTAAAAAAGATGAAGACAGCTTTGTTCCCTTCTTTCAGTTTCTACAATGAATCTTCTCCTTGTCCTCCTTTTACTTTCTTTTTTTCGATAATCATGGAGCTTCACGCATCTCGACTAATTTCACATGATATCTACTACCTTCCATCAAAACAGATATCGGTAACTCTGTCTATCAAAACTTGAACATATGAGAAAAAATTACATACCCAGCGGTTTGCCTCCACTTGGACTCTTTTTACTTTGACCTAGCAACTTCCCAGACTTTGAAATAACCTCTCACGAAACACCGGATTAAGCAAGCAAGAAGCTAAGCAAGAAGATGGAAAAACATAACAACAAGAAACTCTTTCATATAATATGTACAAGAATGTATGAAATATTTTGGTCTCAGCAAAGAGACCCGTCACTCCGAGAGGACGCCAAGCATTACAAATATGAAAACCTATAGAACTATCCAATGTCAAAGATCAACCGTGCATGTTGTACTCGGCCTGTACACACTACTAAGCTGTACACACCACCGCATCCTCAGATGTATATAGTGTTATAAGCCTAATAAAACTTGTAGCTCACATAGGACAAGTATCTTCTTCGCCTTCTTGAGGCATCATGTAATTCCTGCAAAGCGGACAAGTTACGTTCCAATACTTGAGCCATTTCTCTAGACATTGCTTGTGGAAAACATGGCCACAGGAAAGATGGTTTATTTCTGCATCAGGCTCAAAATCCGTTAGGCAGACCGAGCACTCTTTCTCAGCGTGGTTAGAGACACAGATCGAGTCATAACGAATTGCAGGAGTACGACTTCTGAATTCCTCCATGTATGACTCGGATGGGGTTCCACGACATTCAAACGGATCCAAGGGTCCTCCTTCGATAGAATAGTCGTCCCATGCTGCAATGCGGATGCCAATCACGTGAAGGATTGATCGGACTATCTCCTTGAGAACGGAGATGGATATGGCTGTGTTCATTAGAATCACACAGAGCACTCCTGCATCTGCTGGAGTTGGATACTGTGAAAGGCCCATACTGGATTGGAATCTAGTCATTGAAATAAAAAAGCAACCATTAGAAAAGGGAAAAATTAGCCAATGAAAAAGGGCAAGTTACTCATCTGGCCAGTCAGCCAAAAACAATTACATACGCTAGCCAAATATACAAAAAAATGTATATTACACACTAATATACAAAAAATATACATTTTGCCAAGTATTATTTTTGGCAGCTATATAGTTTCCCCAGTGGAAAAAATAGTATCATAGTTATTTTGAAAAAACCACCAACAACAAAACTAGTTTCATATTCTTTTAGCAAAAGAGTTGGTCAAAATCCATCTTCCAAACAACAACAAAAAATCCGGTGTAATCCCACAAGTGAGGTCTGGGTAGTGTACATAGCCTTACCCTACCTTGCGAAGGTGGGAGGTTGTTTCCGATAGACCCTCGGCTCAAGCAAAGCCGAAAATCCATCTTCCAGCTAAGTAAAATAAATCCATATTCTGCCTAGATATTCCAAGTAGACTATAATAGACTAATAGTTGCTTCAAGTTATGCAATACTAAGGTTAACATTTTCTGTCCATGCCCCTTTTTCCCATTTCTTGCTAGGCTAGAAGGCAAGATTATACAAAAAGAAAGAACTCATCCCAAACAGCAATCATAGGAAAGACCAGAACTTCTGAAATAAGATTTTACCTAAGCAGAAATCAAGTATTTTCTTCAAGCAAAAAACTTCTGAAATTGCTCAGTGCACTGGATCTGCAAAAAAAACAAGCAACAACATATATCAATCAGTCATTTTTGAGGAAAAGTTAAAGGAGGCCAAAGCAGTAAGCCAAATATAAATAGCATATATTCCTTCTAGAGAAGCAGATGATAGTTAGTAGCCTAAATATAAATAACTAGAGGTGATTGAACCATATTGATTGAGTAGGTGAACAAATATGGAAAGCAGAAACACAATAGGGATTCAAAATTTGGAGCTTTTATACACATCTAAACAAAATGAGGAAACCCCATTAATTGGAAAGTCTTTATCTTCTTGTATCAGTTCAATTTTGTACCATTTGAAAAACAAAACCAGATTTTTATGAACATGGATCCAAGAACTAAAGAAACTTCTAATAAAAATTGGATCTTTTTTGCTTTCCTTGATACCAAATGTTAATAGACAAATAAAAAGCAAAACCAAAAAGCAGAATTTTTTTATATTGGATAAAATGTGAAGATCCAAGGTAAAATCAGCCCTTTCAAGTGGCAAATTATCTATCATAAAGAAACACTAAAAATTATATTTAAAAAAATGAAAAATCAAATCAAATAAAAACATAATCAGCTTAAAATACAGAAGCAGGAAATAAAATTTAATTCCTCAAATTTGAGATCTAATAACAGATCAAGACTCACATATTATGTGAACCCCATCAAGAACTGCATAAAAAACCATATTTTCCAAAGACTATATAAATAGTAAAGATGCTTATGAACCAAATAAAAAGGATAAAAATTTACACAAATGGAAAGAGATAAAGATAATAGATAAAGGGTACTACTTACTTTATAGGTATAGTAGGAGCTAGAAGAACTTGAGGATTTTTCTTTAAAGTTTAAAATTGCAAAAATTTTGGGAGAGAAATTGTTGTTAGGGAATAAGGGTAAGGTTGTAGATTCATAGGATAACAAGAGAAGACAATGTTGATAATGGTTGATAAGATAGCCTCCTCCTATTAATTCCCATAGACCCTTTTCTATTTATAACACAAGCAAACTTTCTTGGGTCCCATTTTAAATTGTCTCTTTGCTTTCACTCCATGTTCTTATTTTACTATATTTAATCATCATCTTGGACTTTAGAGCTATTGGGGTATTTCTCTAATTAGTCTATCATTCAACTATGTTATCTTCATCCTTTACCCCCGAAGGATACGGTGCAGCGGATGAAATTACTTTTTCCTTAACTAGAGGTTTTGGGTTTGGCTCTGGGTATAAAAACTCTTTGGTAGGGAACGCTTCCTTTTGAATGGGGCCTTACGCGACGCGAATCCGAATATAGTCGGCTTCCAATACGGGCACTAAAAACCGTATGGAAAAGAAAAAAAAGTCTTCATCCTTTTGTACTTTTGCATGGATTGTTGTAAATTATTGTAACTTTTTCGTTTTTATTCTAGCTGTTAGAAAATAATAAACAAAACTGCCTCGAGGCGTGAAAATCGACTGTCCTTAAAGAGTTATCGCATGTATACTAATTTAGGAAATACAAAACGATTCTCTTTCATAACAGATTAATTGCACACACTTAAAAGTATGTGTCCTAAATCAAAGACATGAAAGGGACAAGTGCTTAAAAGGCTCCAAAAAAGCCTTCTCTCTTCCGATATAGGAACAATCCCACTTCTTAACTCTGAAATAACAAACTATCTTACACTAGTGGGGGTTGAAAATCTATCACATGTTAGTAACAACAACAATAATATACCTAGTGTGTTCTCACAAGTAGAGTTCACAGAGGATACTGTATACGTAGACATTATTCCTACTTTATGAAGGTAAAGAGTCTGTTTTCGATAGACTTTCGACTCAAGAAAAGCATTTCTAAGCAATAACAACAAACCTAGTGTAAGCTCACAGGTTGGATTTGGAGAGCATAATCTGTACGTGGACCTTACTCCTATATTGTGAGGGTAGAGCGGCAAGAAAAGCATTTCTAGACAAGATTGAAAAAGAAGCCGTGTTGAAAAACAATAATGAAGAAGTCATGTTAAAAACAATAAAGTCAAGAACAACAACAACAATAAACTAACAAAGCAGTAAAATAAACAAAGCAAAGGAAACAACATATAGTAATAAAAATCAAAAAATAAGATAATACAAAATTTGTCACATGTTAGTAAGTTTACTTTAGATTCAGCTTTTATCAGGAAATTTTTTATGTATAAGTGAGTAGGAAAGATAATAACTTTCAATATCAGAGAAAAAAAAAATACTTTTTATAATATTAGGCTTGGACAAGATAAATAAATGATATGGACACTGATGACTAATTTAAGTTTCTTGAAATTGAGATGTAATTATTTTTTGTCATATTAAAAGAATGCATAATAATTTGTATGATACAATTGGTTCTTAAAAAGCAATGCATGAGTTGTAATATTCGACCACTTGAAAAAGAGGTAAATAACCAATATTTCAAATTGGATTAGGAAATAACTTAGTGACCAATGTCTTCCTCTGTTCCTTTATAAATTATAATATAATATAGACGTAAAAACAAAAAGTATAAATAATGTGCATAATTCTTGTTTTCATTTTATTTATTTTAATTTTGAGTTGTTGCTTGTTATGTGAGTTGACCACATGATCCATCACATGGACGGTTAATAATTAATGCTAATCATTGTACTTATGACTGACTTAAAGGTTTGGCGACCAATGGGAAGAAGCAATTTTATATTTAATAGTATTCCCGATATTTTGGGAAAACCAAAATACTCAATAAAGCAATAGATAAATTCAATAAGCTATAAGAAATAAGTACATTTTTCGAATTTAATACGAAGACGTAGGGGTTATTTCTATTATATGTTGGGGTTCAAATAATCAAGCTAAAAATTTCTCTCTCTAAAGTTCTCTCTCGGCGCATGATAAGCGTGTCCTGCTAACATACGCTGAACAACAATAGGGAGGGGAAGACCCAGGAAATTGGCGACGACAATTCCGATAGGAAACATCATGGAAGCTAGTAATTCACAAAGCACAGAGAAGCGGATTGTTGAGGTGGTGAATAGTGAGATAAAACCAATAGAACAGTGGCCGCCATTAACAACCATGAAGGAAGCTCTTAATACAATGCATGCAACAAGTCCTGTAGTGATAAATGAGAACGAGAAGGTCAATTCTGCTGATAAAATACAAATCGGAGGATCTAACCAAGGGAGAAATGACATGCAAGCTAAGAACAAACGAAATCCAGTAGAGGAAATCGTGAGGAATTCGGAAGATGCTGGAAATGCTCAAAGGAAAAATGAGAATATATCGCAAGCTGATGACAACAAAAATGAAGCTCCAGTCGCAACTAAAGTGACGAATTAGAGGAATTGGACAAATCTATTTGCGGGGAATAAATTGGCGTCAAAAGGTATGGATCTAAATTTCATTGCACCGACTATAAAAAAATGGAGAAGTAGTTGTGGAATTGTGTAAGGATGAAATGGAAGAAGAGACGAGAAAATGGAAACAAGCTTTAATTGTCTATGTAGTTGGAATTACACCATCAATAATTGGAACCAAGGAGCGATTCATCGAGGCGGAATTTACTGCTAAACCTAAGATCTATTACCATAATGAGGGATATTTCATTGTAAGGTTCAATTCAATGGCGGATAGGGATGAAGTATTATACTCTGGCCCACATATGCTAGGTACTAAGCCGATGATCGTGAAGGCTTGGTCGGAGAATTTTGATTTCAGCAAGGAGATCCTGCAAACAATCCCAGTGTGGGTGAGATTTCCAAACCTACCTTTGAATTGCTAGGGAGCTAGATCTCTGAGCAGAATTAGTAGTGGTCTAGGGATTCCATTGTACGCAGATGCATGCACTACTCAGTTGGATCGAATTACCTATGCGCGAGTTTTGATTAAAATGGATATAACAAGAGAACTCCCAAAATCCATCAGAGTAACAGATCCAAATGGAAGAGTGTTTAATCAAAGTGTAGCCTACGATTGGATGCCAGAATTCTGTCAAAGCTGTAGACAAATCGGGCATAGCTGTGGAAAGGATGAACAACAGATGCAAAAGACTAAGATAAAACAGCAAAAGCAGAGGCAAGAGTGGATGCCAAAAGAAAGGAGCAATGACAAGATAGACCAATCAATAGCTGTTAAGAACAATCAACAGGCAAAGGGAACAACCAGTACAAAGGAGAACTCAAATGCAAAGATTGATAGTGAAAAAGGTGAGCTGAACTGGACAAAGGCTACAGGGAAGTCTATAGCTAGAAACAAGGAGAAAATGGAAGAGGATGCAATTAATACCCTGAATGGTTTTAATATACTAGCAGAATCAGGATTACAACTATTACAGCTAAACCAATTGAGAGAGGGTTCGAGTAGACAAAGGAGACAGGAGGAGGTAGAAGGGGGTTCACATGGCATATTCATTCCAGTATGAAGATGATAACATGGAATATTAGGGGTCTGAATAAGACTCCAAGACAGAAGGAGCTGAAGAAGTTTATAAGAAGCAATAAGGTTAGTATGATGGCACTACTTGAACATAAAGTGAAGGAGCAAAAGGCTAGTCAAATAATAAGGAGGATCACTTCAGATTGGGAGTGGGTAGCCAACTATGAGCACAGTAGTAAAGGGAGAATTTGGTTGATATGGGATGGTAGGGAAGTAGAATGTACAGTGCTAGAGAAGACAGACCAACTCATTCATGTTGCAATCCTTATCAGGAACATGAATGTGAGGTTTGAATTTTCAGCAATCTATGGTCTGCATACTGTAGAAGATAGGAGAAAACTGTGAAGGGATTTACTGCAAGTCAATAACAAAATACAAGGGGCATGGCTAATCATGGGTGACTTCAATGCTATAAGGAATAGGGAGGATAGACCAGTTGGGAATCCTGTCCAAGAGATGGAAGTGAAAGACTTTAATAACTTTGTGGAGGATGCTGCATTATCTGAATTGAGGACTAATGGAAGAAGTTTCACATGGACCAATGGTCACACATACAACAGGATTGATAGGGCACTAGTTAATGCTGAATGGATGCTCAAAATGCCTCACCTTGAGGTATGGGTAATGGATCCAGAGTGTTTTGATCACTCACCTTTGAGTATCAGCTTTGAAGACAATGCAGACTCAAGGCCTAAACCTTTCAAGTTCCTGAACCATCTTTGTTGATCATAAGGAGTTCCTGCAGATAGTAAGCAAAGCCTGGGAAGGGAGGAGTTCATATAACAGAATAAGAGATGTATGGGAGAGATTGAAGAAGGTGAAGCAAGCTATGACGAAGCTGAATGCAGATGAATATAATGCTGTAGGAGAAAGGATCACAGAATGCAGGGAGAAACTATGCATCATACCAGAACAAATGAGGAGCCCTGGACAACTAGAAAACATGATCCTAGCAGAAAAGGAATTAAAACTAAAGTTGGAGAAATGGCTAAGGGTGGAGGAAAGCATGCTAAAACAGAAATAAAGAGTACAGTGGTTAAAACTAGGAGATGGCAACAATGCCTACTTCTATGCCAGCATGAAGAACAGGAATTCTCAAAACAAAATTCAGAACCTAACAAGAAGCAATGGAACAGTGACACAGACAAAAGAGGAGGTAGAAGATGAGATACTGGGATTCTATAAACAATTATTAGGATCAACAGCTGGGAAACTACCAGCTATTAATCCAGCAATAATGAGAGAAGGACCACTGATCAATAGCCAGCAGCAGAAATAATTGATAGAAGATATATCAAAGGAGGAAATATACAGAGCATTGATGGGGATAAGTGATAACAAAGCACCAGGGAGTGATGGTTTTAATGCACTATTTTTCAAAAGAGCTTGGCCAGTAGTTGGGGAGAAGAAACTGAAGCAGTGATGCAGTTTTTTTCTGAAGGCAAAATGTATCATCCAATCAACTGCACCATAGGAACCTTAATTCCTAAGCTACCAAACCCAAATAGAGTCTCAGATTTCAGGCCAATATCATGTTGCACCATACTATACAAGATTATCTCAAAGGTCCTAACAAACAGGTTACAAGGCATAATGAATGATATTATGGATGAAAGTCAAGCAGCCTTTGTACCAGGGAGACTGATCAATGACAACATAATAATGAGTCATGAGCTTGTTAAAGGCTATAGCAGGAAGGGTATCTCTCCTAGATGCATGTTAAAAGTAGATATGAAGAAAGCTTATGATTCTATCGAATGGGACTCCATGGAACAGGTGCTAAGGAGCATACAAATGCCGGGGAAGCTTGTGAATTGGATTATGGTATGTATGAGAAGTGTGTCATACTCCATAGTTATAAATGGTCAGCACACAGTACCTTTCAAAGCGAAAAAAGGATTGAGGCGGGGTGATCCATTATACCCAAATCTATTTGTTTTGGCTATGGAATATTTGACAAGACTGCTGAAGAACTTAAAGAGGAATCCAGATTTTAATTTTCACCTAAAATGTGCCAAATTGAACGTAGTACAACTGAGCTTTGCTGATGATCTTCTACTTTTCTGTCGAGGTGACTATATATATCTGTGAAGATGTTATTCCAGCGTTTTCAAGAATTCTCACAAGCCTCAAGTCTGGTTGCTAATATAGGGAAAAGTTCTATCTACTCTGGAGGAGTTAAAGATGACATTCAATAAGAGATACTAACGCTGCTGGGCTTCTCAAAGGGTACACTCCTAGTGAGATACCTAGGGGTACCTTTGAGCACTAAAAGAATGACATTGCTACAATATCAACCACTACTTGAGAAAATGGTAGGGAGAATCCAGTCTTGGACTACTAAGTTCCTAACATATGCAGGAAGAGTTCAGCTTATCAAAAGCATCCTATTCTCCATTCAAGTGTATTGGTCTCAAATCTTCCTATTGTCAAAAAACTCATCCTGCTGATTGAAAGCATTTGCAGAAAGTTCTTATGGACAGGAAATGTGCAGAATACAAGGAAGGCACTTATAGCTTGGGAAAAACTGTGTTGTCCAAGGGTAGCAGGTGGCTTGAACTTGCTGGATATAGGCACATGGAATAAAGCTGCAATGTGCAAGCTCTTATGAAACTTGTGCAAGAAACAAGACAAACTATGGGTGCAATGGGTCCATACGTACATAAGAAACACAATCCTGGATGGGGGACTGAACCAAAGCAGGCTTCCTGGGTGATTCAAAAAATCTTTAAAGCCAAGAAGTACTTTATAGAAGCTAAATACACAGAGGATGATGTGATGCAAATGAACAACTTCAGTATCAAAGATGTGTACTTGAAGAATAGAGGAGAATACAGTAAAGTGTCATGGAGAAAGATTATTTGGAACAATGTAGGATTACCAAAATGGATATTCATAGGATACTTGTCCATTATGCAATACAGAAGCTGAAACCTTGAATCACCTGTTCTTTGTATGCCCATTCTCAAAAAGAATATGGGCTGCTATGCTAGGATGGATGCAGATTGATAGAGCAGTTATGGAGTGGGATCATGAACTACAATGGGCAGAACAACATTGTCGCGGTAGAAGTGCAGCTGCTGAAATTTATAGAATGGTGCTGGTTGGTAGTATATACTACATTTGGCAAGAAAGAAATGCTAGAGTCTTTCAAGAAACATCGAGGACTGCTGAAATGATTACTAGAAGCTTAACACAAGATATACATTGTAGAGAAAATGTAAAAAAAATGTCTGAAAATAAAACTGCTTGAATTGAATTTCTATCCTACTGTTTAGGAAATGTAAATAGAAAGCAGGGAGATTAGAGAAAAGGAAGAAGTAGCTTAGTCTGGGACTTATGTCCAGAACAAGCTATAACAGAACAGTGTAAATATATTACTTGGTAATAAAAAGTTTAGTTACCAAAAAAAAAAATACGAAGACGTAGAGAAATATAGAATTTGAGTTTTATATTTTAGAAGTGTGATGCTCACTACTTTTCTTGTTCAAATAACTAATTAACTTGAATTTTGAATATGTTCTTTTTGTTGGTTAACAAGGGAATCTGCGACCATTGCCTTCCGGGTGCATGTAGGGTAGCACTAGGCAAGTCTCGTGTGACGGGCTCGATCGAAAAGACAAACAAGTGGATCTCAACTGCATTTTTCAATCCCCTCACAAAAGTATATATATTTATATCACAGTTGTTTTGTAGGATGTCGAAAACCTATCCCCTCACCACTCAATCGATCACTCACCGTCGCTCCAATATATCCTTGAAATTAGAGATTAAAATGTACTACTCCCTCTGTTCCAATTTATGTGAACCTGTTTGACTGGGCACGAAGTTTAAGAAGAAAAAAGAAGACTTTTGGAATTTGTGGTCCTAAAGAAGTTACAAAGATGCCCAGAGTATTTATGTGGTTATAAAAGCTTCTCATTAAGGGTGGAATTATAAGTTTAAGCTAAATTATTTTCAAATTTAGAAAAGGGTTCATTCTTTTTGGAACGGACCAAAGAGGAAAAAGGTTCACATAAACTGGAACGGAGGGAGTATCTTTCTTCGTGTGCAAGTGACGTTCGCCCAAAAATGTATATATTTACCCATTGTTATCTCATATTCTAGTACCTTTAGGTGCTGCTCATGATCTTCCCGGCTCCGTGAGTACACCAGAGTGTCATCAATAAAGATAATGACGAATGAGTCAAGATAAGGCCGAAATACACTGTGCGTCAGATGCATAAATGTTGCTGGGGCTTTGGTCAGCCCAAATGACATGACAAGGAACTCGTAATGATCGTAACGAGTCCTGAAAGCAGTCTTCGAGATATATGGCTCCCGAATCTTTAACTGATGATAACCTGAATGCAAATCAGTCTTGGAAAATACTCGAGCACCCTGCAACTGATCAAATAGGTCATCAATAAGGGGCAAAGGATACCGATTCTTCACTGTAACTTTGTTCAACTGGCGATAATCGATGCACATACGTATAGAACCATCCTTTCTCTTCACAAACAAGACAGGAGCACCCCAAGGTGACACACTAGGCCGAATGAACCATCCTTTAATCGTCTTTTGAGTGTTAATTATATTACTTTGTGCTTAATATTATATTTTAACTGTGTAGGAATATAGGCGTTAGATTAGCTTGAATAGGCGAGTTGTACTTCGGGAGAAGGCTACGAGCAATATTTACCCTGTCAACCAATAAACCAGATAAATTAATTAGACGATTTAAGTGAAAAACTCAACGGAATTGTTAGCTAAACCATAGCTCTAGAATATTCGCTCACATTGAATTCGTCTTTAAGCTTTGCCAACTTATTTTCTTTAATCTCTTAATTTGTTACTCTAGAATCTAGATTAATTTTAGTTAAATATTCATACGTTAGGAGTCGCTTGAATAGATTAATTGTTTGGTTTAATTTAGTTGATAGTTAATCACAAGTCCTTGTGGGTACGATATCTGGACTTACAATCCTATATTACTTGTCGACCACG